AAAACTCCCGGGGAAATTCCAAAAGAAAGGAAAAGTAACACGAGTGCCCTGTCCCAAAACTTCGATAAAACAAAAAGAAGATTCAGATGAGGGGGACCGCAAACACTCGTATGGGACTAGACTCAGCTATATTTATTCTCGAGGGTCAACGAAGGCTACTCGGTCCCCCGAATATATAGAACTCGCCACTCGTCTAGAAGTGTCTTGAACCTCACTGGTAAAAATTTCCCGGAGGTGACACCGAATGCGCATTTCAAGGGATTCATTTTAAGATTATATTGTCGTAATCGTTCAAATACGATCATCAAATCATACCAGTGACTTATTCGCTGCTTGCTTTTGACGACCAGGTCATCCACGTAGCACTCCACTTGGTTGTGGATGAGGTCATCAAAAATCCTCGTCATAGCTCGTTGATAATTTGCTCCAGCATTCTTCAGTCCGAATGACATCACTGTGTAGCAAAATATTCCAATAGGCGTCCTGAAAGCTGTAAGTGTTGCGTCCTCTGGGACTATCTTGATCTGATTATAACCTGACGATCCATCCATAAAGGAGAAAATCTCATGTGTTGACGCAATGTCCACCATTAACTCTGGTATCGGTAGTGAAAATTCATCATTTGGACACGCTTTATTTAAATCTCTAAAGTCAATACATACTCGAATTTGCCCATTCTTCTTCTTAACTGGCACAACGCTAGCTAGCCACGTGGGGTACTGCTCCTCTCGCACGAAGTTAGCGTCTATCAACTTCTTTACTTCGGCGATGACTTGCTGCTCTATTTCAAGACGCATTCTCCTGGGAGCCTGCTTTACTGGGGCTACACTCTTGTCCACTCCCAACTTATGAACTGTGACCTCTGAAGATAATCCTGACATTTCATCATAACTCCAAGCGAAGCAATCCTTGTATTATAACAATAACTTGATCAAATCCGTAACTTCCTCCTTACTGAGCAGAGAACTTATAAAGGTAGGTCGGGGCTGCTCCTCAGTCCCGAGGTTAACTTCCCTTAATTCATCGAATGTTGACTTGATTTCCTCCTCCAATTCTGGTGGAGCGTCGTCTATTGGAGAGTCTTCAAAGTCATCTTCCACATCGAGGCAACCCTTCCCCAACTCGCTAGTAACAACCATGCAAAATTTTGAATCGTCGACCGGTACTATCGTACCAAACCCGAGACCTTCCTTTGAATTGAGAGTTCGACCTTTAACATTCCATAATTTCTCAAAGAGTCGTAGTTTGTCCTTTGACATTTGCTTCGGTACGCATCCCTGTTGAATTAATTTTTGTACACAAGGAGAAAAGTAATCAAATGGTAGTTCCATCAATTTATTAGAATCATCCTCTTTCAAGTTTACATGATTTTCCAAAGTAGGAGAAGAAGAAGCACGTTAAAACTTGATCGGTTTGAAACCAACACCCCGGACTTCCTTGACATCTAAACTCTCGATCTTTTGAGGGTGAATCGGAGTAAGAGTCATGGCATGCACGTAGTGGTTAATCCGATCATACATCGACTCATATTCACTTTCTTCCAAAGAAATTTCAAACTGAACTGTGGCTTCTTTCGCTTTATCATCATCGCTTCTTCATCCGACCTTCCTTCGTCAGAACTTTCTTCCACATCAATGCTAATGGTCGGCTTAGTTCATTCAACAGTCGTGCTGGTCCTTCCTCGTCCACGTCCCCGGCCTCGATCTCGGGTCCATGGGGTAAAAGAACCCCTACCAACTCGTTGCGGAGGAGTGGCAGTGGATTGTTGAAGCGGAGCTGAATAATCTTGCTCTTGTGATCCCTTTAAATCTTCAGCCTTATGTGGCACAACTTCTCGAGAAAAGACTGTCTTCTTCGGAGGAACATAGCAGGCGGCATCTTCGTGAATGCCTACTTCATGAATTGAAAATGGTTGTAAATC